AGCTCTTTGGTATTAATCAACCATTTTATGATGAAATTTGCAAAAGTTTGGAATATGTGGCCCCTGGGTCAGTGGTTCCTTTGGGGTGAGGTGCACAACTGGGTATAAAGTGGAAGTGCATTTTCTCTTTGTTACTCTGATCTACCTCTGGGTATTAAGTAAATAGAGTAAGCATGCTAAGTTAATAACTATGATATGCAATGGTGCCTCTTTCAAAATTGTGAATTGTGAATTTCATGGCCTCTGGTTTAAAACACGAACCAAATTGAATTGTTTGAAAGTTGTTACACAATACTCAGGTGACCTATAATGTCCGTGGGCCTGTTGTCTTAAATTACATTCCTCGACTTTTTTTATGCCGAAAATGCAAATATTTTGTGTAATTGGTACGCAGTAAGTATTTTCACGGGTATTGGAGCATTACTACAATATATTTTGATTGAATTTCTCCCACAACGTTAATTAAAGACCCTCTCTATGCATCAGTGCAAAATGTTTTTTTGGACATTGATAAAAATATATTCCATAAAGGTGTTGATATTGAGCTTATTTGTTGAATTTCACTCACGATTGTATGCTAAGTGGCCTTTACCCGCAGGAAAAATAATCAAGTGAAACAGTATCATTGAATAAAAATCACTATCGGTTACTTCTATAATAGAAATAAAACCACATGAATGTCCAGTTAACTTATCTTGACCTTTTAGCCCTTAAGAATGTTAGAATTGATTACAAATTTAATTGTGTAATATACTGTGAATTTATATATTTTTTTTATTTTCTAGAGTTTAGATCTAAGTGCAGATTAATTCTTAAAAATCAGCAGGCATGCTATGGAAAGGTTCCTAGGAATAGTCTTAAGATATGACTTAAGAAAAGTCTTAAGACAAAGTTTAGGATGGTACTAAGACACTTCTTAAGATAGACATAGAAGCTCTCTTAGGATTGTCCTAGTTAGAATAGAATTAGGAGAGTCATAAGATATTTCTTAAATATTCTAACATGAAATATTACCTGTATTCAAGATATAAATAACAATTCCGGGGACTTAGTCTGTTTTATGCAAGATAAGAGATGTAGTATCATAAGAATAGGTTTATTTTCATGATCCCCCCTCTCTCTCTCTCCTAAGTGATAGTGATTATAGAACTATTACGCACATTGTGAAAAAGTTTTGAAAAAAATTATAAAGACTATATCATACTTCATTAGTTCTTAGAAAGCTAGTTATATTTGTATAATAAAATTAAATACAAACGTGTATTTCTTTTTCTCAAAGAGTATCCCGCGAAAAAAAAATCCCGTGCTATCTAGCGCTATTATTCTCATTCACTCATAGGGTTTGAATAAGGTCCGTTATAGTTTTAGACTTCGGGGTTTACACACTACAGCAATGAGCAGAAAAAGGAACCCAAACTTTAGTGAAATGGAACTCCAAATACTTTTGGATAATGTGGAAAAAATAAGGAAATTATTTTTAGCAAACATTCAAATGTTGTAACCAATATTTCCAAAAACGAGTTTGGGAGGGGATTTGTGAAAAGGTGAATGCCGTGTCTTCGGGACACACTAGAACCGTAGATGAACTTCGAAAGAAATGGTCAACCTATGCCAGTGACACGAAAAAGAGGATTTCCTCAAATCGGAAAGAGTCAGTGAAGACCGGGGGAGGAATGGCACCTCCCAAGCTTACGCCGCTTCAAGATAAAATTGTTGGTATTATAGGGCCCACGGCGATCGAGGGAATTTCAGGAGGTTTAGACACTTGTGGGGAATTCGAGGATGCATGCAGCAGCCTCAGCTCTGCTTCAACTATAAGTTTACAAGGTAAAAATAAATATACCATTCATGTATATTATAAAAATGCCTCTTTTTCATTGCCTAATTCAAAGTTGAATTCCGCACTTATAGAATATTTTCTCCTTCGCCTTTGTATCTCAAAATTATCAATGAAATGTTTATGTCTATTAAGTGAATAATCCAAAAAAATATTTAGCGGTTGCATATTGGCTGTAAAAGTGGGTTAGGATATAACAAATGCTATATAGCCTATTAATTTAGGAAGGGTAAATTATTTTTATAAGTAAAACTAAATAATTCTTTTTTTTTATGAAGATAAACCATCTACCAGTGGGAACAATGAAATGGATCCACCCAAAAAAGTGTCCTCCAGGAAGCGCCATATACAGGATGAGGACAATCAAAGCTCCCAAAGATTAGTCGCAATTGAAGAGGAGAGACTTCTCGTAGAGAAGGAGAGACTTTCTATTGAAAAGGAGAGACTTGAAGTGGAAAAGCAGAGACTTGAAAATGAGAAACAAAAATTAATCATATCACAACAACGTCATCAAATTTATTTAGGGCAGTTAGGTGTTCAGTTTACATGTATACCCCAAGGTGCTGACACGAGCATCGCACATGAGTAAAATGTAATAAACAAGTATTGCAGACTTAGTCATATAAAATAAAACAATGAAAATATTCAGGTATAAAATAATTGTATGCTTCTTAAGAATGAACCTACAGGTATTTCTAGATTTTCGATATACATGCATGCATGATGATTTTTAAAAGACAAATGTACTAAGCATAAGCTAGACAATTGCAATCAGCCAGGCATTCAATGTCTGAAAAATTCATTTACTAGTCGTAATCTGACATTTGCTCCGTCACCATTTAAATTCTCAGCGAATTGTTGAGCACGTATGTGTCCATTATCGTGGGGATCACATCCTTCAGGGAGTGGGATTCTGTCGATGATGCACATGTTGTGTAGCACTGCTGTGGCAACAAATATTTTGCACACCTTGTCGGGACTGTATAGAAGTGTTCCGCCGCTACTGTCCAGGCACCGGAAACGAGCTTTAAGCACACCAAAAGCCCTTTCTATCACGTTTCTTGTTCGAATGTGGGATGTGTTGTATCTCTCTTCATCTTGAGAATTTGGGTTTAACACGGGTGTTAACAGCCATGGGCGCAAGGGGTATCCACTACCTCCTAAGGGGACGACCATTTGATTCTGAGGGGGGGGGGGGGGGGGGTGGGGGCTGGCAAATTTTTTTGAGACGGATTATTTATTTTCATGCCTGTCAAGGACAGATTATTTATTTTCAAGATTATCGAGGACAGATTATGTATTTTCTTCTTTGTCTTAGGGTACCTTGATCGATTGATTTTAAAAGACTATCTAATCATTTAAATACCATAGGCGGATTCAGGATAGGAGTTGTGTATAACTTCGTTCAGGCGAGAGGTCTGGGCCGCCTTAAGGCCCCCAGTGGGTCCTGGGCGAAGCATTGGTGGAGGCCAAGGGAGGGAAATTCCCCAGAAGCTCTTGGGTTTTCGGGTATTTTAAGAGTAAAACCAGCACAATTATAGCGGTATTGGTTATTATGTAGCAAAGTATGACATTATTAATATTGGTCATATTATACTTTGAATGAAGGGGGTCCAGGGGGCGAAGCCCCCTGAAGCTCGTGGGTTTTTGTGTATTTTAAGAGTAAAACCAGGCACAATTATGTAGAAATTGGTTAGTTATGTTCCAAAGTATGACATAATTAATACTAGTCATATCATACTTTGAATGAAAGGGGCCCAGGGGGCAAAGCCCCCTGAAGCTCTTGGGTTTTTGTGTATTTTAAGAGTAAAACTAGGCACAAAAATATTGATATTCTACTAAAGTATGGCAATTTTAATATAATTCATATCATACTTTGAAATTTTAGGGGAGGGGTCATACACATGTATGCCTTCCTTAAATCCGCCACTGTATACTTTGTATTAATTTATCGGGAAGTATAATTCTTTGACAAGAAAATTTATCTTTTGTATTGTTTAAGAATTGGCTTGTATTTAAATTGATTCATCACATCTACTGAGTGCACATTGTCATGTTGATAACTGGCTACAAGTATCCAGTCTCGTAATCTGATTTTAAATATTATTTGATTCTAAAATGGCGAGCGAAGAGAGCCAAAAAAAATTCTGAATTGAAGATTCTGAGGTTAAATTACATGGAAATAAACAGGTATCATCACAATATTTAAATATCATAAGTCAAGGTCAGATTATTTATTTTCTTTTCAGAGGAGGACAGATTATTTATTTTCAACATTTTCAGGGACAGATTTATTTATTTCCAAAATCTGCCAGCCCCCCCCCCCCCCCCCCCCCCCCCCCCCCTCAGAATCAAATGGTCGTCCCCTAATAACCATCCCTCACTTATCGTGCCGTTCACAAACAGACGTTTTAATTCCGAATTAGACAATATAAAAGCATCATGAGTACTTCCGGGCCATCTTGCAACTACATTTAAAAATTTCAAAGTCGAATCACATACTCCTTGAATGTTTATGGAGTGATAGTTTTTGCGATTGACATATACTATACATATAGTAAGTGTTCGTCGGTGGTTGGTGCTTTCATTCTAATATGAGTACAATCTATTGCCCCAACAGTGTTTGGAAAATGAGCAATTTCATAAAAGTCTTTCTTTATTTTGTTCAACTCTACTACATCAACTGGCATTTTAATGTTATGTTTGGAAATTTCAATCAAACAGTTTGTAACATCTTCTATTGCATTCCCTGTGCTTTGCCGAGAAATATTGTGAATATCTGCTACAACCTCTTGAAAACTACCACTGGCGTAAAAAAGTAGAGCTACCATTATTTGAAGGGATACTGGAAGTGAACGTGACCTCATTGTTGGCCGGTGAAGGTCTCTTTCAAACATAGCACATAGATTGTGTATCATTGGTCGAGTTAATCTGTATTTACTCACAATGCTTTCATCGTCTAGGTAGTCCAGAGGATTGTTGTAGTCCCTGAGGACGCGTTCTCTACGGAGTCTCCTTCTCCTTTGGATAAACACATAGGCAGCGGCCATATTTGATCATATACAAAGTTAAAGCTGACATGAATTCTTAAGAACGCAACATTTTCATCTATGTACGACTTGTTTCATACCAACTAAAGCCGTATTCCGCCATATTTCTTTCAGATACCATGTCTCATTGTAACGATATATACCCCAAAGCGCTCGTTACAGTTGAATGATTTTTTGGTTTGGGTATCGACTTGTGCACATCTCCGATGGTAAAGCATATGAGAACACATGAGGAGATCAAGACATTTCAAAACCACAATAAACAACATAATAATCATATTTCTGAATAATTATTGATTTGAATCAAAAGAAAAAATGCAAGTTTGGTGAGAAATTTAGATGCACGTCACGAGCACGTATTTTTACAGTGCGCCAATTTATGCAGAATAAACTTGAAATAAAAAGCAGTAAAATCTGCAAACACATTTTGAAATTATATCATTTGAATGGAACAAAACAACCAACGTCTTTTATTTGCAGCCCCTATGCAATTGGTGCATATCGAGAAAACGCCTCGAACGCTGTAAACGTACCCATACCTGGTAATAAGGTTACTGCATCGGTTCGAAGATGTGCACAAGTCAAGTGATATACACCCTGAATTCCATTTATTGAAATATGCATCACAAAAAAGAAATAAACTCCGTAAAAGCTCAATAGTAAACACACAGTCATTACTCCGTAGACTAGCACGTCGATACACTTAGTCCGTGCTGATCAGATTTTGGTCAGGGAAAATATCAAAAGTGGAAAGAGAAGATATTTGGTATTTGCGCGGCTGAAAGGGGGGGGGGTATTATAACTAATGTTCATAAGGTATAATTGTGAATTGTTTATCTACATGTAGATCTAATATACATTCTATACAAAGTCATGTATATAGTCTGCAGTTGGTTTGCGTCGCAAAATTCATTTGTCAATTATAACTGATTATTTTAGTACTAATCTCAAATCTAAACCAAGTAATTGGATGTACGGTAATTATTTACTTCAAATCTTAAAAGCAGTTAACCAGAATACATTTTATTTATGTGTACGTAGATCTATATGTTCTTTAACACACAAAGAAGAAATGCCATCCCCTGTTCAGATTGACATTTAGGCATTTGATTTTTAGGCGGGGGGGGGTGCAAAAATAAATGACATAACCGTTATCTAAATATTCTTGGAAAACAGACATCTCTGTCGAATTCAATTTTGAATTTTTTTTTAAATGTGTCACTCCGACCACAAAGTATGTGCATTTGAGGTATGTATAAATGTTTTATAATTATGTTGTTATAGAGAGTCTATCGAGATTTCAGTATCCCTGCCTGATAGTCTAGCTGTTTTTAAAAATATACATTTTTTTAAAATATAAAAAATATAAAAATAATTTCTGTAGGAGTATTTGGGAGATAATTTTAAAAGCTAGGGTAGGGATTCTTGACACTGGTTGTATACGGAAAATTTTTATTTACTCTTTTGTATATTGAACTTTCTCTCTCTCCCTCTCTCTCTCACTCTGTAACCATTAAGGCAATAATAGGTATAAGATCCTACGCACTTTGTGCTGTACCATTTATTAAGCCTTAGGACAGATCAAGGATTTTTTTTCAGGCGGGATGTCGAAACTTCATAAATTGAATAATGATTTTAATTTGGACAAGAAGTTAATCCAAACGGCCAAATTGAAAGAGAAACTAGAGGTATTGTGAGCAATGAGCTCACTAAATGATACCCCCGCCTCCCATATGGTTATAATGGCAAAGTCCATATTTTGCTGTTGTCGCTAAACACAAAATACGTGTCGGATCAAAAAGTAAAATAGGAGGTGCACAATGGTTATATGTAATAAACGTAAGATTCTGTGAAAGTTTTAGTAAATTTCACTAAGTGGTATAAGAGGATTTGCGGATAAGAGATGGGTACCCCAAAGCGTAACAGACCGACGGACGGACATAACTATTACTATATACCCTCCCACTTTTCAAGCGGGTATATGATAAACGTGAAATATACATCACAGGAATGGGTACATTGGGAACTTTCTCAAATACCTTCTCATACGCATTGGCGTCGGAAGCAAATTGAAAGTGGGGGGGGGGCTAAGTGCAAAGAATTTTTTTTATACATTCAAAGAATCTGACAAGCTTAAAAAAAGGGCGAAATGTCCTTTTCCAAAACACAAATATCATATTTCGTTTGGGGGAAAAGGGGGGGGGGGTAGGTTAGAACTTCAGTAACAAAATTTTTCTCCAAACATCAACACTTTCCTCTTTTTTAACCTATACTGCGACTTGTCTGCGGAAAGTGTGGGGGGAAGGTGAGGCTAAACCTACGCAGCAATGTTCAGTGTCTATACCAAGTATATATTTGTAAAAAAAAAAAAAAGCCATCCCCCGGTTCCGACACCTATGCTCAAACGTACGAGTCGAACCTGGACCTGGACAACAGACAAGAGAATTTTTAAAAAAGCAAATTGTAGGTAGAATGTGGAATTCTCACGGGGGGTTTGCTCTCTCTTTCTATCTGCTTTTTCTAGTAATCATTAATTAACAACAAGTTGCGTGAGGTATATTGTTTTGGACCCATCAGGCAGTCTTTTTTTTTTTTTTTTTTTTTTGGTCAGCGCAACTTCTTATAAACCACCGAACAGAGTTTTGTCGAACTTTCGAGATATTTATAGGAGTCAGTGTGTGTCTAGATTTGCACATCACCAGGAAATTCCGAATTCTTTATTTTTGGGGGAATTTCCGCACTTTTACATTTAGATTTTGACCATATCTTGAATATAAAGATGAGCAGTTTGTCAGCGCAATTCCTCATAAACTGCTGCACACGATTTCGTCAAACTTTGCAGATATTTAGGACACAATGTACATAGATGTGCATATACCAAGGAAATTACGATTCCTTTATTTTTTTCTGGGAATTTCAGCACTTCGACTTTTGCGAGCGTGGGGTATGTTTTCATTCATTGTGCATAAAATTATAAATAACTTTAAATCAAATTATATTAGGTCTAATAAAGCCAATACACAGTATTTGTTTGATAATAATTAATCATAAAGAAATCAATCTGTTTCAGACGTTTTCTTAAATTATTTTTATGAGAGTGTTAATATGCATGTTTTATTACACCCCCCCCCCTCCTATCACAGGAAAATATCTTCAAAAGGTGAATGATTCGTAATAATGCATGCTTCATTATAAATTCAATGAAGTTAAACCATGTAATCATAAATTCTATTTGCAACATATACAGACAAGAGTAATGTTTAGTTTTGAAAAAAAATTCTTGCATTTTTTTCAATCAACCCCACTGAGCTTTCAACCTTTGATATTTTCCCTGACCAAATAAAATGATCGGCATGGGCCACGTGTGTCCAAGCATCTTTTACTATTGAGTTAGCAATGGATTACATGACTTCTGAGATGCATTTTCAATAAAAGTAAAATAGGATAATTCTTTCGACATGTGCACATCCCTGTAACGATAGCAGTATATTCAGATAAATGTTTTATCACTGCGTTTGACGCGTTTTCTCGACCTGCATGGATTTTTGCTGTACATGAATGTATTCCGTGTTAGTGTATTTTCTATATTGCAGCAAATGCATTCAAAAATAATTTAATTCTCGGTATAGTTCTATTTTTTGGCTGAATTCTTACTTTTCAAACATGTATTTGGTCAGTTTATTCAGTTTATGGACTTCTAAAAACTATGCTATCGGAGATGTGTACATGTCGACAGCCAGGCTAGAAAATCACTCAAGTGAAACAATTCTACAATGCTATATATAGCAGGTACAGGTGACCAAAAATCTTCGATAAATATGGCGGAATCGAAGAAATATGGCGGACAAAGGCGTACAGGAATGTAGTAAGTCGTACAAAGATGAAAACTGATGCCTTTTTAAGAGTTCATGTCAGCTTTAAGACACCTCTTAGGATATCTTAACTTTAGGAGAAATCTTACGACATGTCTTAAGTTAGGATAAATTCCATGGCCTCTCTTAGGACTAAGATATCTCTTAAGATATGTCTTAGTCCTAAAATGGCTTCGATAGCATGCCTGCAGAACTCTTGGTGTGCAGTGTAGAAAGGGTTCTTAACTTTCAGCCCTCCTCATCCTTATCTTTTCTGTATCTGATTTGTATGTAATAGTGAAAGATTATTATTAATGTTTAACACCGAGTCAGCAATATTAGAGAAAGAAGAGTAACTCTAAGTTCACTTCTAAATTATGACAGATAGTTGCCAATACTGTTTGAAATGTAAAATAAAGAAGTTTGGATCATGTTATCAAAAGTATTGAGATTTTTTTATTTCAGGTAATTTTTTAGAATCTACACGCATAGCTTAATAAAAATTCGAAACAAAACATGGGGATCAGAGCTCTTTTTAAGCACTACGGCGCAATTCATATGACCTTTTTGCACTGTAATTACTAGTAGTATTATCATTGAATCAATTTTTCAAAGTTTTCCTCTAGTAATATTTTTTTTTAAAAGATTGGAACATACTAAGCCTTGAATAGTCAAAATTAAAGAAAATTGTGAGAACAAACATAGTTTCAAATATCTTCGCACACAGAGGTGTTTTGGGGGTGGGGGTGGTGAATTACATGTATGTAAGGCCGCAGGAAATAAATTTTTTTTTCTGCAATAAAGGCGGATAGGTTTATTTGAAAATCCTTTTTAAAATAAACATAATAACAGGTTTTTCCTTCAAGTATTTTAATTACATATCCCTTGCAATTAGTCTTCAGTATACCGGTATTTAATGACATGTATATTTCATATTTGAAAGAAAAAAGGAAAATAAAAATTCAAAGAATTTCATACATGTTTTTCTCAACGTGATGTAATAGTAAAAGTTTTTTATAATTATTTGTAATGTTATTCATATATTATTATTATTTTGTAATATTTTTCCTTTATTTTTTTTTAAGAGTTTACATTCCTTTAGTCGAATTATGGGATATTCACAAGAAATTGACGAGAGACATTAAAAAA